GTCATCATAGCTCACTGCAACGTCAAGCTCCTGGGCTCAAGGAATCCTCCTGCCTCAGCCTCCGGAGTAGCTGGGACTACAGGTACATGCCACCATGCCCAGCTAATTTTTCTGGTTTTTTGTAGAGATGGGGGTCTTGCTTTTGCTCAGGCTGGTCTCGAACTCCCGACGTCAAGTGATCCTCCCCTCTCGGCCTCCCAGAGCGCTAGGATTATAGGCATGAGCCACCACGTCTGGCATTTTTTTTTTTTTAAAAGAGACAGAATCTTGCTCTGTCACCCAGGCTACAGTGCAGTGGCATCATCATACCGCACTGTAGCCTCGAACTCCTGGGTTCGAGTGATCCTCCTGCCTTAGCTACCTGAGAAGCTGCACTACAGTCCCATACCAGGCTATGTTTTTACTAAACCAGAACTAGAGCTTACAACTGGCTGGTCTGGAACTCCTGGTTTTGAGCGATTCCCCCCACCTCAGCCTCCCAAAGTGCTGGGATTACAGGTGTGAGCCACTGTGCCTGGCCCAGAATTTTAAACTACACATCTTAGAACCAATTCAATTATCATCTTTATAAAAACATGCATCATACTTGCTTTCTAATAATGCTTTCCCTGGGGGAGAAAAAGGCACGGGGGGATAGCAGGGAGGCTAGTGACACCCACGGCAGATCAGGCATTTGGACACAGTTGATCATGTATATCGTGGCCAGAAAAGTCACGTGGGGAGCTACTCTGGGGACTTGGGGCTGTTCGTGAGCCCCCCACCCAGCATCTGGGTCCCCAGTTATTGTCTCCCAGAGCACCCTGGGATCTCCCCTTATAGACCCTACTGTAAGCACAGGATGGACAGGGGGCCATGTCTGTTCCCTTCATTACTAAGTCCTCAGCTTCCTGGGTGTGGCACATGGTGAACACTCAAAACATATTTGGGAAATAAACAAAAGGATGATCTCCTGGAACACTCCTTACTTTCCTGACTGGCAACCTTCGACTCACACATTAAGGCTTAGATCAAACATCACCTCCTCTGGGAAGTCTTCCCTGAGTTCTCTCAGCAGAAACAAATGCACTATGTACCAGAAACATTTGCTTCATACTTGTATCACTCCATGCCTCACAGTATATACCATTTGGTTGTATTCTGCCTCCTCTGCCAGAATGCAAGCTCTCTGAGGCCAAGCATCGGGATGTATCATTTATTACCCCCACTCTTGCCGGTGCTTGGCACATAGTAGATAGTTAATAAATGCTTGTTCACTGCAAGAATCAATAAATGCACTCCTCTGTTTCCATTCTAAATCTTGGACACCAAGCGCAGACACATCATATTTCAAGTGTTTTGGCACAACCCAGAACCGAAAGTTGTTTTGGACGTCAATTTCCTGGTCCTTTAACACTGGGAAGAAACATTTGCCCTGCCCCTCTGAAGGCTGATCTGACCTGGCTGGAGGATGTGTTTGAGAAGCCTTCGCCCCATCATCGCCACTGCCCCAAAGGACCTTCGGAAGGCTTCTCTGGGACCTCCCCCCACCCACACCCACACCTCTGGCTCAGAGCCCTAGGGCAAATAGGCTCTGTGCTTGGGGAGAGCTACAGGGGACTCCTGAGTGTCTTCAGACCTCTCCATGTCACTGCCCCCAGTCCCCTTGGAAAGGGGTGCGCCTATGGACTCCACCTGGCTAGAGGAGGACCCCAACACTCAGCACACATGGCATACTGAAGCCTCAGGCCACCTCCTGAGCACCAGAGCTCCTGGAAGACAAAGTGGAGCCTGGAGCACCCGCAGAGGCTGTTCCTAGCCTGGCCCACAGGCGCTGCTGCCTACCTGGCCGAAGGTCGGGGTGAGGGTGTTTTCTGGAGAGGGTCTGTCCTGGGATGAGCCCTCCTGATGACTGCAGTCCAGCTGGATCAGGTTGCGGCACTCCGGGTGGCAGGTGAATTTACAGTCTGCAGGGAAAGAACCAAAGGGGGATTAGGGGCCAGACCGAATTTCTACCCACTTCCACCCAGAGAAACAACCTGGGAGACTGCACTTAGTTCCGGATGGGAACAGCAGAGCAGGAGAGAAGCGGAGGGGTGGGGGACAGCGTGAGAACGCCACCCTGCTCTCTGTGCCACCAGGAAGTGCTTTACACATTCGCAAACTGCTTTCACCTGCATTCTTTCGTGTGACCCTGCAATCGTTGTTATTGTCACTTTATAGACTAGAAATCAGTGCTAGGGACTTCAGCGACTTTCTCAAGGTCAGATCATCTGGCCCCAGACTGGTGCTTTCTCTACTAATTCACATTAATCACCAGTGTCTGTGGATCCCTAGGGAAGGAATGAACTTTTCTGGGTCTTTTTTCACCAATCTGTAAAACACAGGTTGAGCATCTCAAATCTGAAAATCTGAAATCCAAAATGCTCCCAAATCTAGAAGTTTTTGAGCACTCACGTGATACTGAAAGGGAAGGCTCATTGGAGCATTGCAGATTTTGGATTTTTGAATTTGGGATGAACTGATATAATGCAAGTGTTCCAGAATCCCCAAAAATCTGAAATCTGAAACACTTCTGGTCCCAAGTATTCCAGACAAGGGATTCTCAACTTGTATGGGTAATAGCTCCCCTGCCTGCCTGTTGTACAGGATGTTTCTATTAATAGTTATAGGGGAGGACATAGCTTGAAGAATTAAAAGTGCTTCCAGAGACAAAGGCATTTTCACCAGCAGGAAGGGCTGTTACTGCTCTCTGACGCTGCCCGGTCTGGAAATGTGGGAAGGCTGCTCTAACCCAGGTGAAACAGCCTGCGGACGACATCCCACATCAGGTGCGCAGGGGCAAGTACACGCTCCATAGGCAGTGCTCACTCCATGGAAGCAGAGACTTAATGACCAGAGTCAAAAAGATCCTCGGGGACCACCTTAGAGATGGGGAAACTGAGGCCCAGAGAGGTAAAGGGAGGTGCCCAATGACACACAGCTCATTGGTGGCAGAGTCAAGGCTGCTAGTATTCTCCGGCTGTCTCAAGAGCTCTCTATGGAGCCTCTTTGGCAGAGGGAAGTGACAGCCAAGGGGGCAGGAGACATCGAGGGGAGGGAAGGAGATGGGGGTGGGGGTGGGAGTGAAGGAAAGGGTGGCGGCAGAAGAAATCAATACAAGCCCATCAGCGACAAAATGCTTGGATCTGAGGTGGGGTCCCCACGGATAGCTGCTGGGTCAGCCGCAGTCACCTGTCCTGGAGGGGCCACAGCTCAGTCAGAAGGCCTAGCCTTCTAGGTGCCGGAGTCTCCCATGAGTTTTCCTTCCTGAATGTGAAGTCAGGTGCATGGAGATGGGGTGGGGGAGCAGGTCTCGTGGCAGGAAACATGCCAGCCTGGACGTGGGGATTAGGGGACCACTTTGGGTCAACACGGGCTGAGGCCCCCTGAGACTCTCCCTTTCTTCTAACAAGCTCCAAAAATTCAGCCTATTGGTCTTTTTTTTCTTTTCCTTTTTGAGACAGAGTCTCACTCTGTTGCCCGGGCTAGAGTGCCCCAGCGTCGGGCTAGCTCACAGCAACCTCAAACTCCTGGGCTAAAGGGATCCTCCTGCCTCAGCCTCCCGAGTAGCTGGGACTACAGGCATGCACCACCATGCCTGGCTAATTTTTTCTATATATTTTTAGTTGTCCAGACAATTTCTTTCTATTTTTTTTAGTAGAGACGGGGATCTCAGTCTTGCTCAGGCTGGTCTCGAACTCCTGAGGCTCAAACGCTCCGCCCGCCTTGGCCTCCCAGAGAGCTAGGATTACAGGCGTGAGCCACCGTGCCCGGCTTTGTCTTTTTTTTTTTTTTTAAAGCTGCCATAGCACACTCTATCTTGGGGTGGGGGTGGTGGCTCCTCTTCTCGCCACTCTTTTGGAAATGAGACTCCACTCTCCCCACCTGCCCCCTTCCCTAACACCCCCAAAGATAAGCACCCGGGCCACATTCCTTTTGTGAGTTTTGCCACCAATGTCTGCACGGGAGCCCCTTGACAAGTGTAGGGAGGCACAGAGATTCCAGAACCACACAGCATTCTTATTCCATGGGCTGAAGCTCCCAACAACCTCTCTGGGATGGCGCGGTGCTGAGAAGCCCCACTGCTCAGCTCCGGCATACCCAAAGGCGATGCCCACCCTCTTTCCGACCCCATGCTTCTCCACGCCTCCCTCCTGCTCCCGCCTGGAGACAGAATGGGTGACGTCACTTCTCTGATTCACGTACCACCTACCTGCAGGTGCCCAGTGCATTTCTGGGCCCCTCGGCGGGAGATCTCCTGCTCAGCATGAAAACAGCCTCCCCCTTAGTGGGGTGAAGGGCACAGAGGCCTGTGCAGGCCAAGCCTCTCCTGCCCACAGTGCCCAAAACACCGGGGCTTTGATAAGTTAGCCCTGAGGCCCACAAAGAGCGGCATTGTTCCTGGGCCTCAGCCCTGGGACACACCTGCATGGCCTCTGGCCATGCCCTGAGAGACGAAGAAGGCTCCAGGATGCCAAGCAGTGGGAACAGGAAGGGGAGGAAGGACGGGAGCTCTCCCGACTCCACGGCGAGTGAGAGCTACCATCAGATCAGCGCACAAACGGGAAAGCGTCTTGGAATAGGGGAAAGTTCTCTCCTCTTTTAGCTGCTTATGCCGTTGACACAGGCGCTCCCCGTCCAACTCTGCGTCGGAATCTCTCTCTCAATTTCCACGCCGCGTGCTTGCTCGCTCTCTGACACGCACACACACACACATGCCCTGAAAACAGCACCAAAACCTCAGAAAGATCTTCTTACAGGCCTGATGCTGAGCTGGACAGAGCTAAGGAACGGAAGACTCCAAGAGAAGTGTTTGGGGATTTTATAAAAAGCATGTTTGAGCACTAAAGACTTTGTTCCATCAGACCGTGTAATCACAGACTATAGCAAAACCACCGCAGCACGTCTTCATACTTCCTGGTCCCCGAAAATGCCGAGGCCAGGGCTTTTAGGCCAGCAGATGTGAAGTCAGAGCTTCCATGCCCTTCTCCAAACACAAAAGCAACAGCTTGTAGGCCTGATGTGTTTGGGGAACGGGGAGACCCACGAGATTGCAAAGACAGCGCGGCGTTCCGGGGACGCAGTGGTGAGCCCTCGCAGACCACCATCCCCCAAGGCAGCTCATCGCCAGGTGCTGCCAAACCAACCCCTGCCCTTGGCATCCACCGTCCTCCACAGCCTTCGACTGGTGGCTCGATTTGGACAAGGAAAGAGAGAGGGGGCCTGGTGGAACACGGCCACACAGCCCCCGGGAAGGACTCAGCCAGCCCCTCACCTCTGGCAGCAGCATCGACGTCTCAGGCACGGGTATCCACATGCTCTGTGCAGCCTGGGGGTGAGGATGAGGAAGACAAGACTCCTGGGAAGCCCAGGCTAGCTGGGCAGATGGGACACACATGTGAAAAGATAACTTACACCTGAGACAGCGCAAAGCGCCTGACTGTGGCGCAGATCTAGAAAGCTCCTTCAGCTGATACACCAGAGCAGTCAGGGGGGGCTTAAAGGTGCAGGAGACGCTGGGAGCCTACATGAAAAGTCAGAATCCAGGCAGCTCATGTGACCTTATCACAGGGGCCAAGAGGAGGCAGGAGGCTGGGACATCACTGAATAGTTAGGGCAAGGATCTCACCAATAAGAGGCAGCGGAAGATTAGGGAGCATCATTCCTAGGTTCTAATTGTAGTTCTCTGGGAGAACAGGCATTTCTTGACCTTCGTATTGCCATCCATAAAACAGAATTACCCTTCCCCTCTCCATCCCTTCCTTCCAACTATAGCCCCCGTCCCCGTTCCCAGGAGATGTTTTGAGGAAAATAAATGTGCTTCCAGGTTTCGGAAGAGGGGCCTGTGTTAGTCTGTTTTGTGCTGCCATAAAGGAAATGCCTGCGGCTGGGTAGTTTATAAAGAAGAGAGGTTTACTTGGCTCACACTTCTGCAGACTGTACGAGCACGGTGCCAGCATCTGCCTGTGGTGAGGGCTTCAAGGGGCTTCCAGTCAAGGCTGAAGGCAGAGGGGGAGCAGCAAGAGAGGGAGGAGGCGGTGCCAGGCTCATTTAAACAACCGGCTCTGGCGCTAGCTCGTTAAGGCGGGAACTCACTCATTATGGTGGGAGGGCACCAAGCCATTCATTCAGGAGATCCGCCCCCATGACCCACACACCTCCCACTCGGCCCCACTTCCAACACTGGGGATGGAATTTCAACGCGAGATTTGGAGGGACAAGTATCCAAAACATATCAGGGCCTACGGACATAGAAGGGGCCAAGTATAAGGAGAAATGAAGGAGACAGACCACCATAGGGGTCCCTCTTCCAAGGAGGGAGCCATGACAGGTTGCAGGGCTCCTCCCAACACTCAGACTGTGTTAGTTTCCTGGGACTGCCCTGACAAAGCACCTCAGACCCAGTGGCTTAAAACAGAAATTTATGAGCTCAGTTATGGAGGCTAGGAGACTGAAATCAAGTTGTTGGCAGGGCCACGCCGTCTCTAAAATATGTAGGGGCATCCTTTCTTGTCTCTCCCTCGCTGTGGCTGGTTTGCCAGCAATCCTTGGTGTTCCTTGGCTCGCAGCTGCATAACTTTAATCTCTGCCTCCATCTTTGCATGGTGTTCTTATGCTTCTGTCTTCTTACACGAATACCAGTCTCATATGGGAGTGGGGGCCACCCTACCCCAGTATGACCTCATCTTAACTAATTACACCCGCAACTACGTATTTCCAAATAGGTTGCATTCTGAGATACTAGGAGTTAGGACTTCAATATGTCTTTCTGCGGGAAGCACAGTTCCACCCACAACACAGCCCCTGGGCCATGTTGGGAGCACAGAGCCTTTGCGCCCAAACAGATGGAGGATTCTAATGGATTCCATCTCCAGAGATCAGCAATGGGCTGGCAGGACAAGGAGGCCAGGAGTGCTGGGCTGAG